CCAGGGCCGTCCGTCCCGTGCCTTGCAGAGGAACAGGCGGGAAGGGACTTCCTTTTTCACCCACAGGGCACCCGGGTTGCCGACTGCTACCGGTCCGCGGCCTGTTAAGAACCGGGCCGTGCAAGCGGCGGGCAAAGCTCCATCCGTGCATGTGCGGGATCTCAGTCGCTCCCGCCTCCCCCCCTCCGCCCCGTGGAAGACATTTTTTTCTTCCAAAACCGGCCCCTTGTGCCAGAAAGGTTGGGGAGCCATGGGTGCACCATGCAAGCGGCATACGGTACATTTGAAATCTTTGGCTTCAGTCTTTCTGCTCTGTTGGGAGGAGGGAGAGGGAGAACATATCTCCTTTGCCCGATTTTTCCCCACTGCTGGTGTGACTGGTGCACTGAATCCAGTTTTGGTCACCACAACATAACAAAAGATGACCGAGACTTAAGAGTGCAGAGAAGAGCAACAAAGATGATCAGGGGACTGGAGGCTAAAACACTATGAAGAACAGTGGCACAAATTGGGTATGCCTAGTTTAACAAGGAGGACGAGGGGTGACATGATAGCAAGTCCTCCAATATTTGAGGGGCTGCCACAAAGAAGAGGTGGGTCAACCTATTCTCCAAAACACCAGAAGGCAGGACAGGAAGCAATGGATGGAAACTAATCAAGGAGAGAAGCAACCTAGAAGGAAGGAGAAACTTCCCGACAGTGAGAAGAATTAACCAGTGGAACTCCTTGCCTTCAGAAGTTGATCACTGGAGGCTTTTAAAAAGAGATTGGACAGGCATTTGTCTGAAATGGTATAGGGTCTCTTGCTTGACTAGGGGATGGGCTAGAACAGGAGTCCCCAGTCTGTGGACCAGTACCAGGCTGCGCTATGCCAGCAACCGGTCCGCACGAACAAGCAAAGCCCCCTGCGTGAGATGCCAGCAGCACACAAAACCACACACCCTCTGGTCCGCGGAAAAACCTCTCTCCACAGAACCAGTCCCTGGTGCCCGAAAGATTGGGGACCTCTGAGCTAGAAGACATTCGAGGTCCCTTCCAACTCTATTCTGATGTGTAGATGAATAAACACCTCTCTTAAAATCTCCCCGTTCTGCAGTGGAGAGGGAAGGGTCAGGCAAGGAGACTGCCTATAGAAATTACTTGCTCCCTGTTCTGCAAAACAGAATGGAGAGGAAGGGATTTTAAGAGAGTAAGCTGTGCGTGTAGCATTCCCACTGATCCCTCAAGGTGTGGCTTTCAGCATGAGCAAGCCAGTAAGCCGGCACTCCCCAAAGGAGGGGAATAGCTAGGAGGCAATCCGAAGTTGTGAAATTTACTAGTCTTGTCTCCTTCCAGCAGGAAAGCTCAGTGGCAGCACCTGATTTCCCACTTTGCAACTGCTTCACTTAGTGGCAGAATTGCCACACTTAATTAGGATAATTAACTGAGGACTACCTATATGACTTCCCAGCTGTCACTGTAATTGATTAATGGAAAATAACATAAGAAAAGCAGCTAAAGGGGTAATTTCCCATTTCCCAGATTTCCCCAAGTACCACTCGGAATAAAAGCTCAGTCAGGGTGCTCTTCTGTCTATGATTTTATTAAGAGTTATTTCCAATAGGCCTGTATTGGAAGATTGGGAGACCAAAAAAAGGCACAACTCACAGTAAAGAAACAATGGAGATCATCTAACCTATCCTACAGAGCAGATGCCGTAGAAACGAATAGCACGAGGAACCCAGCTGGACCGGTCAGGGAGTCCTTGCAGGTTCGGCAGAAAAAAAAACGGAGGAAAACAAGAGCATGCTAAAATGGGGAGGGCATGTTTACCCGCCGGAGCTTCGGCCATCACAACGCAAAGCCAGCGGGACCTGCTCTTTGCGTCTCCGCACTCGGCCCGTAGCCCCCGTCAGGAGCCCCTTCCAGGGTCTCCCCGGGGATTCTGGAGCACGAAGCCAGAGACAACGCACTGGAGCAGCTTCGGCTGCACTGGCTTCCATCGCCACCCGCTCTCCTCGGCAGGAAACAAGGGTGGGGGTGATGGGGGCAGTCATCACTGCCAATGGGGAAGGGGGCTCTGCAGGAGCCTCAGCTGCAGGTGGGGAGGGGCGCACTGGGTCAACTCCAATGCAGGACACGCGGGGGGGGGGTGTCTGTACTTGTCTTGCTCTTGCTGCTAAGTAAGGAAGTTAATGTTTTAATAAGAATTCTTGTCTTCTACCAGAGTCGTTTTAATTCTCTCCCCCATCCTCAAAATGTCACCATCTGTTCCCAGAGAAAGCCTCTTGAGTTAAACCCAAATCTTTTAAGCAGGAGTGGGAACAGTAACGTGTTTGAGCAGATCCTCTTAGCCACACAATAATTCTCTGTGTTGTGGTTCTGCATTTTGGAGGAGAGAGGATTACACGGCACCCGCGTGTCTCAGAGGAGAGGGAGGACTACTGGGACACAGCCGGATCCCAAAGGACTTGTGGCCCGGCTGGCCAGGGACATTCCGTCCCCACTTTAGTCCTACCTCCTGTGCCCAGGGACAGCCACCTTCCCGGAAGGCCCTTTCCTGCCGAGGAAGGCCGCCTTCGGCCACAGCAGGACAGGCTTGCTTATTGCACGTAAAGGCAAGAAAGGAATCGGCTGGCAGGGAATGGGGGGGAGCAGGAGGGCAGCCTCCCTCCTCCCCAAAGCCCACTCTAGCCTTCCCCCAGGCCTAGCTGCGGAAGGGGAGGCAGGGAGAGAATCCCCGCTGGGCTGGGCTGGGCTGGGCGTTCGCTCCCCCTTGCTCCTGTGATTGTCTGAAGGGCAGTCCAGCCCCAGGGCTGGCCTCGGGGACCTCCTCCACAAGCCCCAATTCAGGCAGTCCCGGAAAAGAGGAGCGAGGCCCTCCCCACTCTCAGAGTGGAGAGGGGCTTCAACTGTTGTTCCTGGGCTCCAGGACACACAGCCCCAAAGTAGCAGCAGCAGCAGGCCAGGAGTGGGGCAAGGAGCAGAGACCACAAGGTGATCGGGGCTACCGTCTGCCAGCAGGCACGCCCGTGTCGAGGGAGACCAGAGACGCACCCAAGAAAAGAATATTCTTTACAGAGAAAAAAGGCTTCCAGATCCCGGCCTTTGTGGCGCTCAGGGCTGAGAGCTCCCGTCTCCACAAGGGGACCACCATCCCAGGGCTCAGAAGAGGGGAAACAGAGGCAGGGACCAAGGAACTCTAAATCACCACATCACGAGACAACTTCAACAAAACCTGCCACTTGGAAATCAAACAGTCACATGAGAACCGGTGTATGCACCTCCCTGGGGAAAGGGGGTGGTCACAGAAGCAGCTGTCCTGAAGGGCCGCCTCTTCCCTGGGCGCCATGGCCCGGGCACTCAGGACCAAAGGATTTGCTCACTAGATGAAGGGCAACTAGAATTAGCAAGGGGGGCAGATGTTGCCGGCCGACTGGAGAAGGAGGGCTTGAATGTCCAGAGACGGTCCGTTGGTCAAGAGGGTGGAGTTCCTGGGCCTTCCCGGAGACCCACTCACAAACTGGAGGGAGAGAGAAGGAACGTGAGTGGACCAGGGGCTGAACGGCCGGCCGAGCGGCACCGCCAAGCTGCTGCCGGTGCTTCAAATGTCTTGGACTCTGCCTGGAGAAAGCTCTGCCTGGTGCTGACCCGAGGGCGACAGCTGCAGCCGCAGACACCAGGGTGGCAGCAGCCTTGCCAGCCCCCCCGCTGCCAGCCCCCCTCTGAGCCCTACGGCCTCTCCTCCATCCGGAGTCCTTGGAAAATTGCTTTTCAAAATCCTGGGTCTGATTCCATAGAGACAGCACTGTTAGCCCACCCCCACCCCATGCAGCTCCCCTTTCCTAGCCTGGGGGAGGGTGTGGGGCACCCCTGGCCACCTACCGTGTGGTGAAGGAATCCAGGCTACTCGTCTGCAGCTGACATGCCTTTCAGAGGGTCTCTCTCTCTCATCTGCGGCAGAGAAAAGGCTGTTCACCTCCAGCCCTTGGGAAGGTGAGCGAGACAGGGGGAAAAGCGGGCCAGGAGGGAAGCCCGCTGGCCCATCCGGGGGGGGGGAAGGTTCCCTTGAAGCGCTCACCTCGTCCAGCTGCCTCTTCGTCTCGTCCTCCATCCGGCGAATGTCCTCCATGGTCAGGTCGACCCATTTATCAAGCCAGCAGAACAGCTGCCGGTGGAAATTTGTAAAAAGCCGCCTCTCTTGCTGCAAGAAAACAAAACAAAAGGCTGAAAAGTCTGGCTGGAAGTCCCTCCACAGCCAGACACGGCGAGGGATGCTGCGCTTGCCGCCTGTCCCCAGAAACCGCTTCGCCCTCCCAAAGGGCCGGAAGTGACGCCTCCGAGCGGCCTCACGCGGCAAGCGCCGCTGGGGAACTGCCGGTAGCTCCTGCCGCAAACTCTGCTCACCTTCTGGATAAAGTTTTCGATTTTGTTCTGCAGACCCCACCACTTGAATTTGACCGTGACCAGCTTGTAAGCACACATGTGCGGGCATTCGGCCTGCTTGCCCAGCTCCTTCTGAAAAGACCAGAGGCCACCAGCCGTTCAGGAGGAGTCGCCCCAGCCAGGGCGGCCCCCCTCCTCCCCAGAGCCCCAGATCTGCCTGGGTTGCCCTGGGCCAACAGGACCCCAGCTGCCCGGAGGGCAACCTTGGTCCGAGGCAGGTCCCGGGGGACCCCCTTGGCCGACTCCCCTCCGGCTTAGCCCTGCTCAGTGCC